AAAATTCTTTTCATACTGCGAGTATAATTTAGTTTTTTTTTTTTTTTAAAGAGATTTTAAGATCGTAAATCTTACATTTTTTTTTATTTCGGTTTTCTTTTTTTTTGGGGGGAGGGGTGAAGGGATGGAGGGAAAAAGGGATTCTTTAGTTGTCCTACTTTTTTTTAAATTTTTGTCTTTTTGTATTCGTTGTAATCGTATTGCACGTGATTTTGTTTTTTTTTTTTTTTTTTTCAAATATTATTCCTTTGTGCAATGTTGAAATTTTCCTGGTTTTTTTTCCTTTCCTTTTCCTTCTTTAAATGATACAATTTTCCTTTGAATTCTCGAAAACCTTTTGCTAGTGATTGTAACCAAGGCTCCTTTTCTTGTTTCATTCCACACATCCTGACTATTTTTATTTTTAAATTCCTGTACTTCGCCATTTTTTTCTTTCTTCGGTGTTTTCTTTCGCCAGTACTTTGATCAATATTTGGGGAGTTACTTCTTATGTGTAATTGGTTTGTTGTCTGGGGGGACCCGTTAGAAGTATTTTTTAATCGTACAAAAATGTACGCCGGTATCAACCATTAAATGTGATTGTATCACCCTTAAGTACCTTTTTTCGTTTTATATTTTTTCCTTTTCAGGTATATTTAGGTAGGAAAACCAAGATCGCCAACATTAAACTCTTCGTATGTTTATGAATGTTCTCTTGACTTAACTTGTGCAGTTACATCAACGCCATATTATTATTAAAAATGGCGGCGCTGGATAAATTTTTTTTTTTTGTTTAAACAAAACTTAATTGTATAATCGTAAACAACAAAAAAAAAATATGGGGGGGTTGTAGTTTATATTTTAATAGTAGATACATACAATTTTATTGTTAAAAAAAAGGTAAAAAATAAATCGAACGTGAATTAATAATAATAATAAAGCAATAATAAATTTTATAGCGTGTTATATATGCAACAAAAATATAAAAAAAAAAAAATTTTCAATTTCTTTATAAATAAATTATGGGGAAAAAAGAGAAGAAAAAAAAATTTACGTTCGAGTATTATTTTCTTTTTCTTCTGCTTTTTTTTTTTTACATCAATTTATAAAAATTTAACTTTTGTTTTTTTTTTTATAGGTAAAGTTAAAACATTTTTCAAAATAAAAAATAATAAAAAATTTCACTTTTTTTTTTTTTTGCTTGTCGAATAAAACTAAAAACAAACAACAAGAAACAAACAAAAAAAGACAAACGCAAGAGAGAGAGGGAGAGAGAAGGGGAAGGGGAAGAGAAAGATAGATAGAAAAAAAATCAAGTGAATAAATTATTTGTTTTCTATTTTTTTTTTTTTTATGTAAACTTTTTATAAATTTTTTATATTTTTGTCGCGTATACTACATCTTAATAAGAATTTCAAAAAAAAATTTTTTTTTTCTTTTTTGTTTTTAAAGTTAAATTTCAAATAAATAAATAAATAAACAAATTCAAAAACTATATCAATATTCTTCTTCTGCCACGTATAAAATAAAAGTTAAATGTAAAATAATAATAATAACAACAACCTTTCTCCCGTTATAAACCGTACCGAAAGAAAATTATTTTAAAATAAATAAATATATATTTCGTGAGTTTTATTATTATTATTATTATTATTATTATTATTATTATTATTATTATTATTATCATTATTATTATTATTTATTTCTGTCAAATTATCAGATTATTTTAAATTTATGACCGTGAAAAAAAAGAAAAAAAAAAT